GTCCACAGCCTCTGCTCGCCACCCCCTACCCCGCCCCGTCCCAGCTCCTCTCTGGACACTGCTGCTGTCCCTGGCCCTCCGAGGACACACTTGCCTTTTGCCGCCAAGCGTCCCATCAGCCCTGCTCCATCACTGATCTCTGTATCCTTAAATCTTTTTTTGCCGCCATAGAGCATGGGGGGTGGGGGCAGAGGGAGAGAATCCCAAGCCACCTCTCCCTCACCGGGGGGGGGGGTCAACTCGACCCCACACCCTGGGATCATGACCTGAGCCAAAATCAAGAGCCAGACGCCCAACTGACTGAGATGCCCTGGGACCCCTCCGTGTCCTTGATCTTAAGAGAAGACAGTTCTCTGGCTCCATGGCCGGAGAACGCACCCATCACACAGCCAAGGTTTACAGAGCGCAGGACCAGTCTGCAACACCCAGCACCCCTAGAGCATCATAAAACTCCACTTTAATGAGTATCAGGTTCTCCTCTAAGCCCATAACATCACCATCCTGTTTGCATAGCCCTCACCGCCCTATCTGCTAGGTATTAGCCCCCTGCACAGAGGAGGAAACTGAGGCTCATGGCTTACCCAAGGGCTCCACTTTTCTGTGGCAGCAGCTGGGGCCTGAACCCAAATCTGTGGCTCCAAGCCCCCTCGGTTGGCTTTGCTACTTACACAGTCCTAACACGGACATCAGGAACCTCCCCGAACAGGCATCCATCCTGTGAAAGAGCGCGCCGTCTTCTGCCATTTCCCAGAGGGTAACAAAGCCAGGCGGAGCCACGCTGGGTAGGCAAGGCCCTACCTGAGTCTCTCAGCCCAACACCCACGTCATTCTGAACAGGGCCCCTCCGAGTCCTTGGTGCTTCCTGGGGGAGACCACCAGCCTCCTGGCAGAACTGGTGCACCCCCCCGACCCCCACTTCCAGGCCTTCACCTTGAACCTGGAGGGAGGACCAGTCAGGAGAAACAGGCTAGTTAAGCCTCTTAAGTGAGGTCCTTTTTTTTTTAAGTAATTTCTACACCCAACACAGGGTTCAAACTCTCGACCCTGAGAAGTCACGCGCCTCGGACTGAGCCAGCCAGGCACCCCTGAAAGGAGGTTCTAACGCCAAGGAGAACCCCCTGACCTAGGTGGCATCTCCCATGTGAGTGCGCCTGCTGTGCACGGGGCTCCACAAACACCAAGCACCGTGAGTCCCTTTCTCTCTCTCATGCCGGGGCTCACCCCGAAAGGACGCTGGAGAGAAAGGCACAAGACGTTCTGGAACTCGGGTTCCTTGGCATTAACAAATAACGGGAGCTGCCTCTGCTCACCGAGTACGCATTATACGTGAGTACGTGAGGCCCAGGGCTCAGGGCTCCCACGCACAATCTCTGTAACCTCCCCAGCAACCCCAGGAGTTCACGGCACCATCACAGCCACCTGACAAAGCAGGAGGCGGGGCACAGGGGGCACGTGCCGCAAAGCGGCTTTGCCCGGGCCAGCCTGGGGGCCACTCCAAGTGCTTCTCTTCCCGCTGCTGCACAAGCAGCCGACACCGATGCCGTCATTTGCACTTTGCAGAATGGAAAAGTCAACTATAAAAGTAATTTGGTGTTTAAACGGGTTGTTCTTTAGGGTAAGAATAACCCTAAGAAAGAATTTCCTGAAAGCTCAACATAGTCCTCTGGAAGGTGAATGGCAAGTTTCAGGTGCCTGGAGCTTAACACAATGTTGTGTAAATAAGTTTTGGCCCATGTGCAGACCGCGTAGAAACTGGGGGGTAAACCATCAAGGGTCCCCAAAGGCTTCTTCACAACCCAAAGGGAAAGACCTTTAACTTTCACTGCCTCAAAGTGGTTATGTTAAAAAGGTATGTAGATGGGACGCTGCGAATTAAGGACTTTCAATGCACGGGCAGTGGGGGCTGGGGTTCCACCCACTTCCCTAAAATATTTCAGCTCCATACAGTGACGTGCCCAAGTGACCTACTGTAAGTACCTATGAAGGGACTGACAGGTAACTGACAGACTGGGAAGATACTCAGACCACTTGACAAAATCAATACAACTTATTATCTTGATTATCAATAAGAGAAAGCACTCATTAAACACGGACCATGCACCAAACATGCTAGGTACTACCAAACACTCTAATCCTCGCAAGCCTGCCTAGCACACTGAAGGGACTACGAGATTCAGAAAGGCTGAGTACGTCACGTAAGGTCACACAGCAACAGAAACGGGGTTCAAACCAGGTGGGATGTCAAAGCCCATATAGGACTTGCTGGAATGTTTAAAAATACAGCCCCTAAACTTTGTGATAATCAGTAAGCCAAATGCTCAACAATTTTCACACTTCTCCGTGAGTTAAACTTCAAGAAAAAAGTTGTTAAAAAAAAAAAAAGAAAGAAAGAAAGAAATACTCAAGAGGCCAAAATAATCCAGGTTCTGGGGCAGACTGCCCAGGTTCAAATCCTGGCCCCTCCACTTACAAGTTGTGGGACCCTGGAACAGCTTTACTTCCCTGCACCCCAATTTCCATGTAGTCCATGGGAACAATAGCAGACCCTACCTCCCTGGGCAGTGGACGAGACCGGCGAAGAAATCTACACGAAGCCGTTAGAATCATGCCTGACATGGGTTGAACACCGGGAGAGGCTGGCTGGTGTTACTTCTTCCTGGGTACGAGATGGGGCCAGCGTAGGGCCAGCCGACCTACACCTGCTATTTTAGTAACTTATTTGCATAAACCAAGCAACACAGCCTCAGCCACTCTGTGTCCCCAAGGCTCACGGTATAGTTCCTTCCTGTCGCTAAGCTCTCACACCTGCTCTGTGGCACGAAGCTCCGGGCCTCAATGTCCCACCTGTGAAAGGAGGTGATTAGCCCGGCTGACCCAGCTGAGGCCCCTCCCGCTTGGCAACCGAGAACTCTTACCAATTCAGGCCCTAGAAGCTTTATCACCGCCCTAACACAAACCGTAACAGAAAGCACATTCTCGCTTTCCTAAAATCTTCTTTTACATATTATGTGTCGAGGCCTATTGTGATGGCACATCTTCTCCAGGGTCTCAAGACTCTACGCGCACCCGCAAGATGCCGGACGGGCGTCCCCAGTGGGGAGGCTGGGGACACGATGGTCAGAAGCTTCGACCAAACAAGGGAGACGATTCTGAAGCAAGTTGCTCTGATCGGCAGGTCCTCACCGTCAGAGAGAACTTCAACAGAACACAAGTGAGGGGAGATGCAGTCGGGAAAGACGTGCCTTCACGTGCAGGACAGAGGGGAGGAGGGCGGCGGGGCGGAGGGGTGGAAGGGTGGAGGGGTGGAGGGGCGGTGGGGTGGAGGGGCGGTGGGGCAGAGGGGTGGAAGGGCGGAGGGGTGGGGGGGAATGGCAGGATCAACAGAAGCCAGGCGGAGGCAGCACTGAGGCCAAATGTGAGGGGGGTGCTGGAGGCAGATTTAGAAAACTCAGCTTCAGGAGCATGAAATGAGCCCAGAGCACCACAGAGCCAAGGGCTCAGCAGGACCCCACTGGGATGGTGACATCAAGGCCCAGGGGCCTGGCTCACCAGCTGGGTGACTCCGGACCACTTTACCTCCTTTAATGTTTCCCAAAGGGTGTATTATTCACTCAATAACTCTGAGCCCCAAGTACATGCCAGGTTCTCATCAGGGTTAGGGACCAGGTGGAGCCCACAATCCAAACGGGTCAAATACACCCGACTAAGACAGCTGCGGGGGGGGGGGGGGGGGGGGGGGTGGTTCCAAAGTCGGGAAGAGGTCACACACAAACTTGAGACACGGGTTGGCACTGGCCAGATATACTGGGCAAGGACCCGCACTCCATAAGGACTAGCACAGCACCTCACGGGGTGCGATGCACCCCTTCTACAAAGGAAGCCAAGACCGCGAGGTGCCAACATCCTGACAGGGGCCTGGCACGCCACCCTCCCCCACCGGCCTCAGTAAATAAAATGAAGCGGAGGCCGCGGAGCCTCCTGCACAGAGAACTTCCCAAAGCAAAGTTTTCAACTCATCCTGGAGAAAATGGTGCTGTGCAATTTTAAGACGAAAAAGGCGGGGGGTAAGGCGGGTTCTGGCCAGGTTAGGCTCCGACCAGCCCGGAGTCTGCGGGTCCAGTGCCCGCCCCCCTGCTTCCCGCGGAGGCTAACTCCTCAAGGACTCACCCCCCCTCCCCGTGTCACCGCAGCTCCGCGCAGGGAGGGCCGCCTGCGGAGGGAAGCACACCAGCTCCGCCCCTCCGCCCTCTGGCCTAAAAGGGTCCCCGCACACAGAGGCGGGTCCTGTGGGTCCTGTGGCCCAGGAAAGGCGGTCTCTGAGGCCAAAGGAGAGTCCCTGGCCTGGGACGGGGGTCTGAGGATGAGGGGGTTCCCCGGTCTAGCGACAGCGGGTCCAAAAGGAAGGAGGTCAGGAGCTCCGTCCCAGGAGACGGGGCGGGAAGACCCCAGACGCCAGTGGCCCCCAGGTGGAGGGGCCCCAGGTTTCGGTGGTTCCCGAGGTGGAGGGGGCCCAGGGGTCGGGGACCCCGAAGTGGAGGGGGACCCGTGAAGAGAGTCCCGAAGTGGAGGGGTCTCCCGGGGGTCGATGGCCCCCCCGATGGTGCGCAGGCTCCTGGGGGTCGGGGGTCAGGAACCCCGGAGGTGGAGGGGTCCCGGCAGGGCTGCTTGCGCGCGCCCAGGCAGCTCCCCTCCGGCCAGGGAGCCCTGCGCGTCTGAAGGACAAAACTTTTCGTCAAGTTCCGGAAAAGGAGCGTGTCGCGCGCGCGTCTAAGGGGCTGACGAGCCGGGCGCCGCCGGGCCCCGCAATGTCACCCGGGCCCCAAGCGCTCCCCCGGTGCGGGGGGAGGGGGGCAGCGGCGGCCGCGCCGCAAGGGGGACCCGAGCCCGCGCGCCGCGGCCCGCCTCCCGCTCCCGCCTACGCAGCAGCAGGTGGCAGCGGCTCCGCGCGCCCCGTCCCCCTCCCTCCCGCGCGGCGCGGCCCCGTCGGAGGCCCTCAGTACCAGAGTCAGCGCGGCTCCGACGCCATCTCCGCGCCCCGCGAGCCCGCAGCCCAGGACCCCCCGGACCCGCGACGTGCACGGTAAGGACGCTGGGCGCCCGGCAAGCTGCGGGCCGGGCAGGCAGGTGCGCGCGAGCTGCCCGCCGCGAAGAGCGGCGCGCGCCCTCGCCCCGCCCCCGATCCGCCCCGTCCCCCGGCTCGCCCCGCCCCGCGCGCCTCGCCCCGCCCCCTGCCTGCCGCCGCTCTTCCGCCCGGCTGCCGCCCCCCGCCGCGCCGCCGCGGCTCCTCGAGCTCGACGCTCGCCCCGCTGCCCCTCCTCGGCCGCTCGCTCGCCCGCCCCTTGCAGGCCCCGGAGCGGCGTCGCCGGCCCTTTTCTCTCCCGAGGGCCCAGCGGAGCCTCGAGGGGAGGCCTGAGAGGATCTTCGTGTCCGCCCGGCGCCCGTGGACACCCGCCAGGGGCCTCCGTACCTGGTCGGCTCCACCCGCGGCCATCTTGGAAGTGGGAAGCGGCCGGGAGGGGGAAGAGGCACGAGCGGGCAGGGACCAGGCGTGGGGAGCCGAGCGGCGGAGCGCATCGATGGGCTCCCCTGCCCCGGGACAGGTGCGCCGGGCGCGCGGGTCCGGGCCAGGCCCTGGGCCGCCCGGCCCGGCCTTAGTCTCTTGGTCTGTAAAACGGGCTTTTCAGGCAGTGCTGCTTTGTCGAGCTGTGACACGGTACCTCGCGCCGCGCCGTTGTTCCCAGACTTGTCTACACTTTAGTACCGCCGCGGCCGTGCCGCGCCCCGGGCCGATGGAATCCCAGTCTCCGGAGGTGAGAGACAGTTTGGGAACCGCTGGCCTGGCGTGCAAGTGCGGCATTTGGCGTCAGCATTGCAGAGACTCCAGAGACAGGGTCTGTGATGGTGGAGTGGGAGAGGAGGTCGCGGGCCGCAGGGCCCAGGGCGGACACGCGGGGAGAGGGCTCAGATGCCCGGCCCGGCCCCGCCCGCCTTCCAGAACGAAAAAGCTCTCCTTGGCTGGTTAACCGATCCTTGCTCGTACCCCTTCTAGAATCCAGGTTTCTGGGGCCGAAGCGGGCTTATCCTGTGTCCTGCTATATTCTCTGGGCCTGGCACACAGTTGGGGCACTTAGATAGTTGTTGAATTGTTATCTTCCGAGGACATGAAGAGCAGAAGAAAGACTTAAGGCCTGGGTTTTATACTAGGCTTGGAGCCCTGAGGCGGTCACTGGCAGAATTATCCGAGCGGAAACCTCAGAAGGCCGATCAGCTAAATCTAAAGGATTTGAACCGGCGGAGGGTCAGGGACAGGAAGGGTAATCTCTCCTTCCCAGAAAGCATCTGGAAGCCTGCAGTGGAAGATACTTTGTCTGAGCTATGGTCCTTCATGTTGGCCAAGGAACCCAACCCCCGCCCAGCTTTTTCCTCGGTGTCTAGATCGAAAAACTCAGCAACTGTTTGTTATGATGGTAGGAACGTCCTCTTACAGTGCTTGGTGCATAACAGAAGTGTTAACAAATGCACACGTTTCTGGGTGGTTTTAAGGAAAAATAAAGGAAATCTAGTCTCCTTCAAACCCCAACATGCCTTCCCCAACTTCTTAAGAAACACACAGACACACACACTCTAATAGGGAAAGTACAGACTTGCTTCTGGCCTGACTTAATCAGCAATTTAATAAATAGGATTAGTAAGTCTGCTTTTACAGTGCTCCCTTGCAATTCCCCAAATCCCTTCCAGGCCTCATTCTGAGTCTGAGAGTTTTAAAACCCCACAATGACTAGGAACCATTGTTCTGAATCCAGAACCAAAAAACATTATGACGCACAGATCTGCGTTTGGCGGCCTCCGTCCGTCTTGTCCTCTCCCTTTCCCCCCTCCTGCTGCCCAGCCCCGGCTCCCTGCCCAGGCCCAGCGCCCCCTCCCTGGGGCCCACCAGTCATTTACAGCCTCAGGGAGTCTAACAAAGTTAAAAGTACAAGGAACTAGAGAAGCTGTGTGGGCATCTGCGCCCCCCCCCCCAACCCTAGCGCCTCCCAGCCCCCATCGGTGATCTGGAAACAGTTGTGTCAGGGTGGCCGGTGCCACGTCCCACCTTTGCCGCCTCACTGCTCGCTGCCTCCGCAAAGCCACCCGGGCTCCCCCGTGCCGACTGAACCCCGGGATTCCCAGAACGATTCTCGCTACAGTTGTTCCTCTGAGGGCCGCGAAGGCAGTGGCTGTCAGCTCCCTCCGCTCAGTCCCAGGCCTGGGACCAGCTGACCCGTCGTCGGCTGTGGCCAGAAGCCTTCCGGCGCACGCCGGCCTCCCCACCTCCCAGGCTCACAGCACCTTCCCCGCCCAAGCTGTGTGAGGATTAGAGACAAAGGAAATGGCAGCGACGGCCCAATGTAAAAAACTGCCTGGCTTTGCCAGTTTCCGGCGTGTTTGGGGTGCTCTCGGCACCTCCCCAGTAAAATAATGGCAAAGGAAGTGTGTTGGTCAAAGGGGGGGGCGGTGCTTGGACCCCTCGGAGATACCACCCTCCAGAAGGACATCTTCAAGTCTTGACCTCTGAGCCTCCCTGGCAGGCAGGTGTCTGATACCCATGGAAAGCACCCCCGTACCAGCCCCGTGCTGGGCTCTGGCCACACCAGAGCGACTGGCACCCCACAGCTCCTGCCCTCACGGATCCCCATTCTCATGGTGGTGGGGGAGACATGTCATTTCACAAACTCAGCCCCGCCTCCTTGTAAGGAAGATAGTTAATGACCAGCTGCAGACCCCAGAGTCATAAATACAGTGTCAGGACCCTTCCAGAGCCTCAAGGCCATCCCTCAGAGGGGAAACTGAGGCCTGAAGGGCAAGCGGGGGAGGAGGTGGGCACAGGACGAGGCCAGGGGTCTCCCCCCCCCACCGAACCACCTTCGCATCTCTTCCCAAGAGAGAGGGGGATCTAGTCTCCGAAGCCCATGTTTTCTCTGACCCTTCCCTAGCCCACAAGTGTGAGCCCCATAAACATCTGCTGAACGGATGAATAAATGCTGCTCGTGGCCACCCCTGTCCCGCGTGCCATCCCAGCTGTTCACCCCATTCGCACAGTTGAGCCCCACAACCTCCCACGCTGGCCCAGTGACTCGCCATCTGCAGGTAAGGAAACGGCGCTGGGCCGTGAGGCTGCTCAGCCCAGGTCGCGAAGCTTGTTTTCCGCCGCGTGACAGCTCTCGCCCGCTGTCCGTCCTCCCGCCCACCCTCCACCACCCCAGCCTCTGTTCAGAGCCACCAGGGCCAGACCGTCCCCACGAGGTGGAGGCGGACTGAACAGCTTCGTTTATGTCCAAGGAGCGCCCCCCTCCGCCCCCCACGCATCTGCGTTTCCAGAAATCTACCAAAAAGCGTGTCCTTTCTGCCTTTATTCCTTGGAGTGCCTCCTCCTCCTCCGCCACGCGGGAGCACTCAGTTTCTTGGAAATAGGGCCTGGAACTTGGGGGTCTCTCGTTGCTTCTGGAAATTGAGCAAGATGATTAAAAAAAAAAAAGAGCAAAAACACAGAGACAGGGCTGGCTAGCCCCGAGAGCTGGAGGTGAGCAGCCCCCCAAGTTCAGGCCCAGAGAGGGCAACAAGCACCAGAACCAGAGAAGCCACCGCGAGCATCTGCTCTTCGCTGCGAGCAGCAGACCTCAGGCCCTCACACCACAGCCGGAAACTGGTACTTTACCCGCAGTTTTTTTTTGTTTTTGTTTTTTAACGTTTGTTTTATTTTTCGAGAGGGCGGGAAAGCAAGAGCGGGGGAGGGGCAGAGAGAGGGAGACAGAGTCCCAAGCAGGCTTGGCGCCGCCAGCACAGAGCTGGACGTGGGGCTCGATCTCACAAACCCATGAGACGATGCCCTGAGCCAGAACCAAGACTCTGGATGCTTCAGCGACGGAGCTGGTGTCCCGCTCACAGTTTAACAGGCGCAGTTACTGGGTTCCTACCAGTAGTAGATGAAAATCAGTGGCTGTAGGGAGGCAGGACTCTCCGTAGTAACACATTCGTGAACAAGGGAAGGTATGGCTCCAACAAAGGAGAAAGCAAAAGAAAAAAATTATACAGAATCTCTTTGGTCTAATAACACACCTGAAAGGATCTGTCCTTATAAAGTTACCCCAGGGGCGCCCTGGGGGCTCACTCAGTCAAGCGTGCGACTTTGGCTTAGGTTATGATCTTAAGGTCTGTGAGTTCAAGCCCAGCGTCGGGCTCCGTGCTGACACCTCAGAACCTGGAGCCTGCTCCCAATTCTGTGTGTCCCTCTCTCTCTGCCCCTCCCCATTCATGCTCTGTCTCTCTCAAAAATGAATAAACATTAAAAAAAAAATTTTAATAAAATTGCCCCAAAATTCAGGCAAAGACTATTGGGTTTTTTTAATGTGTTTTTTTTGTTTGTTTGTTTGTTTGTTTGTTTGAGACAGAGACAGAGCATAAGCAGAGGAGGGGCAGAGAGAGAGGGAGACACCAAATCCGAAGCAGGCGTCAGGTTCTGAGCTGTCAGCACAGAGCCTGATGTGGGGCTTGAACTCACGAACTGTGAGATCATGACCTGAGCCAAAGTTGGACACTTAACCAACTGAGCCACCCAGGCACCCCAAGACTATTATTAAAAGGAGTTCACTACAGTGTTATTTACAATAGTGAATATTACAATGGATGTAATATAGCTGTCCAATCATGAGGGAAGTTTAAATGAAGACCCTTGTATGTAGCCACTGAAAAGTTTCTAAAGAATTTATTACAGCACAGAAGAAATGCTCAAGTTATAGAGTGGTACTGAATTTTAAATAAAGTATAGGGGCACCTGGGGGGCTCAGTCAGTTGAGCATCTGGCTTCGACTCAGGTCATCATCTCACGTCAAGGGTTCGAGCCTCGAGTCAGGCTCTGTGGGGATGACTTGGAGCCTGGAGGATTCTGTGGATTCTGTGTCTCCCTCTCTCTCTGCCTCACCTGCTCACGCTCCCCTCTGTCTCCTTCTCCCTCTGTCAAAAATAAATTTAAAACATTAAAGTATAATAAAAAATATGGAATATTCCACAGGCATTAACAGGAAAAAACACTGGAATGACTCTCAGAACAAATGATTAGCTCCTGTCCATACATATTTTGCAACTTTTAGGTTTC